GCTACCGTTTAAAGAGCGTTCCGAGCCCGACGACGCTTATGCTTGGGCTTTGGGCCTGGCTTCATACCACGTTTTCTTTTTCGTTCTTCGTCTATCTGAAGTAGAGGGACTAAAAGCGTAGTATCCGTCTCCAAGGTCACGTCTTTAGGCAAAGGTCGAAAGTGAAAACTGTAGGTTGTGCTGAAAGACTTGATCGACATCTTGTCCGCGTCGTATAGATCATCCAGGCGACACCCGTCTTGGATAGCAGCGCAAATAGAGTGGATGCAGGGAAATACGTTATCCTGCCAATTGCCGCAGATGCACAGTTTAGCTGGAAGATCAACCAATCTCCAAGTGTGTATGTGCCCTTGCCGATTTTGAGGTCCGAGGTGCTGGACTGAGTAAGCGCCTTCCACCAGAGAAGCAAACTGGCACAATGTGGCGTCAGTCGTTCTATCCCTAATATGCGATATCAAAAACAGGTACCAAACTCGAATCAGCGTTGTTACGTGCCCAATTTGCTTCCATTTGGCGCTTCTCGGAAGTCAATTCACTTAATTTCTGAAAGTATAGATGAAAAGCACTCAGTGGCTTAGCACTGCGTAGCTCCGATCCCATCCACTGATTGGATTGTTCGGAGAGGTTCGATGTAATTCGTTAAACGTGGGCAGACCAAACCTTTCCTGAAATTTGTACTTAACCCAGTGTTTTGCGTCAATTTTGTCGAGATACTCTGCTGCGGCAGGTTTCGAAGCGGCGAGCTCGTTGCGGAACATAATGTAGTCATTCTCGCAGTCACTACGAGCCATTTGACATACGATACGTCTATCGTCAATTGACAACCTTGCCCCCTGGCGATTGATGTTGTCCATGATGTGTCGCAGACAAAACCTGTGTCGAACATCGGGAAAACTTCAGCCACAGAGGCTAAAAGGCCCTTCTGGCGGTCGGAAATTGCTGTAAACTTAGCTAAGCTTGTTACAAATTTCAAAAGTGGTAAAAAACCTGTGACAATTCTCATAGTTTTCGACTGGAACCAGCGCCAGTGCAAAAGGTACGACATGATTGCTGAAATCATCGGCAGTTGCAACGAGGAAAACGCTTCTCTTGTTCATTTCTTCCTTCAGGTGGGTTCCATCAAAACCAACAATAGGCTTGCACATTTTGACGATATGAATTCCAACATTTGGAATGAAGCATGCTCGTCGAAAAGTAGCGTTGTCAATTTCACGGTCAACTCTCCACACAGAATTGGGGGTTTTCTCCTCCATGAACTTGAAGTACGCCTCTAGTTTCTGATAACTTTCGATGATGTCTCAGCGGAGGCTATCGTCAATGTCCATCTTCATCCTAGAGATAGCGCTGCTTGAAATTGTGAAACTACGGAATTTGAGAAACTCACGAATCGATCTTCCATCTAAGGATGCCGTAGATCTAGCGTGCGTTGGTAGCAAAACTCTCATAACCAGAGTTGTGAGATGTTGAATGTCTTGTGTAGTGTTCCGAATAGCTGTCGATGGATGAGAAATTGCACCTTCAACGCAAGGCGTTCGAGTAAATCCAACATCTTTGGCATGATTATGCGCAAAGTTTGCCTTCGTCAACTTCCAAACGCCATTTTTGCCGTATACATTGATGAAAAACGGGCACTCTAAATTGTCCAAAGGCGTCTCCCGGTCGAAAAATTGGACATCGTTGAGTTTCTTGCACTGATACTTTGCGTTCCCGGAGTTGTTGCCCTTGACACTTGTTTGCTTCAAAAAAATATTGGAAGCCTGACTTAATGGCAAATTCTTTACACCGCCCCCGAGCGTTCTTTTGAGAAGAAAATTCATCCTCAGAAATATTTTCGTTTCGGCTGTAGACTAGACCATAGTCCTTCTTTGAGGAATCGTCAATCTGAATCGAAATGTCATGCCGTAGAAGTCGTAAGTCTCGATCAAGCTCGATGTCAGAGCAGTCGACTACGAAACGAGCATTGCCGAACTTGCACAGAGGATCCGAACGCTCTCCGGGGTGTTGAATCGATGCGTCCGTAGAAGCAGAAAGCTGCAAGACCGATCCCGAGTTGAGATCTTGAGCAGGCATTGCCATATTGAAAATAAACAACTTGAGAAAATGTCGCTGATGAAAATAGCAAATGTAGCATGCTATATTTGGAAATCAAATCATATTTGGTATCGCTAAAAGCAAAATATTTGTATTCTGTAGCCATTTTCCATATTTTTTTTTACTAGGTATTGTTCATTGAATGTTCAATTCGTATAACATGGTTTGTAAAACAAAAAAAAACCCTAAATTAACATTTTACAATCTATATTGTAAATTTCTGGAATCGCATTTTGTTTTAAAAAAAAGCGTTTCGAGATAAGCTTACAAAGAAGTAGCATAAGAATGAACTCTAACGAGATATTAATACGACTACGGGGTGCGTGGATGCAACGCTGCCAATATATATCAACTTACAGCTAATTATAACCACACTTCTTTTCTGAGGTGCTCAACCTCGACTCATTTGAGATATCGATGATCTTCGGGTCATTGATCTAATTATAAACGCAAAATAAACGTTCGAAGTGATTAATGCCATTTCCACGTTGAAAATTTTAACATAAGCCATGGTGCCTAGCGTCGACATTTCCACGACGTCGAGATCATGTTAAACTTTTTATTCTTTCACTTCTTCG